TTCAATGCCTAAATATTTTTCCAACATAGAAAGTTTTTGTAAAAGTGGGTCCAGACATTGGGTGTCCAAACCTGCCCATTTGATTTTTTGTCTTAAGTGGGAAATGGGTTTCAAGAATTGGTGTATGAAGCTACCTCCTACTTAAAAAAATGTAAGTTAGGGGATAGCTAATTTTTTTGAGCTGCTCATTTGTAGTTTCTTTGCAAGTGGGGTGGATTTAGAGTTCACACATTTAATATGAAAATATTTCAAACACTTATGCAGCCATAAATCAGCAGGTTTGAACACCCAATATCTGTACCAGCCCCACTTAAGAAGAAAAGAGGAAAAAAAAAAAAAAAAAAAAAAAAGCAGATTTAGACATTGGTTGTCTAAACTAACCTAGTCATTTTTTTATTAGAATATGGGTGTTATAAATCATTATTAACGTACTTGTATCCCTGGGGTGAATAAGAAGAGAGCCGGTAGTAGCCTAGTTCCGCTGTACCCAAGACACCGTCAGACCACAGGAACACTATAACAATAAGCCTAATATTGGACGACCTCTGAAGAAGTGTCAGAATGGCCTCAAAGTGCAAGAGAAGGTAGTTTTGGATACCTTAACGACACCTGTAAATTTTGGTTGCGCTCTGACATGTTTTGAGATGATCAGGACAAAACTCAATTCGTCAATCTAATGCCTATCATGCTGAAAATATACCCTATAATTTTTACCCCATTTTTTGGGTCTCAAAAGAGTATCCGACCACTGCCATTGGATCTGAAAAGTGGAAAAACCCCTAGATACAAAATTTCGGCTCAAGCGCCTCTAAGACCATTCTTGGTCTAACTTACTATAAAAATGTGGGTTTGACACTATCGCAGTGCAGCTTCGGTGAATCAATTTCTATTTATGGAAACTGTGTTTTCTCATTTTGTGATGATTTTCAAATGCTCATAACTTGCTCATTTTGGATCTAATTAAGCTCAAATTCGAACACGACCTGGATCTTGACGATACACTCATTTTGACATATGACATGCATCATGGCGTGGCTCGAAACGAGAGAATTCTTAGAGAGAAGATAGACTCGAAACATGAAAATTCAGATTTTAAAAAGAGGAATATCACATTCTTTGAGAGGCTATAGTTCTGAAACCTAATGTTAGATCGTCGAAGGTATGGTTCCTTTATGACCGTGCTTCGAAAAGCTACAGTTTGATATAATATTTGCAGATGATCAGAACCCGGATGGACTTTTTTGGTCATTAGAATTATATTTTCTGGCGATTTTCCAAAATTGGAGCGTGCTCAAATGGAGACCAAAATGGACGAAATTTGTCACAAAATGATTGTGATAGTAACCTCTTCAATTTATGATCAAAATGAAGATCTAGAACATCATAGATCATGTCAAATCCGTGGTCGAAGGATTACAAGCATATGCAAATCGGTGGTCGAAGGATTACAAGTATATGGAACTTGACCGAATTTTGGGTTCTTCCTTAAAAATCCATTTCAAGACGATCAAAGGGTATCAAAACGCGCATAATAGTTCAAGCATCGATTTTACGATATTTGATTGATCGAATTGCATCCGTAAACATTTGAAAAAGCTTCCGAGGCCTAGCAAAGGCAAGAGGCCCCTAAGAGAGGGATGGTTTTGTCATTTGTTGAAAAGTGTTGAGGGTATTTTGGTCATTTGGTAAAAAACAAGACTAATATTGTAATTCATTTAATGTGTATTTTTTGACAAATTTGGTTGTTTTTTAGCAATCCACTCTTGTTTTAGGGTTGCTCTAGATAAAGAACTTAAGAAATTTATAAATCAAAGTTTTGAAGTATAATAAAAAAATTAGGTTTTTGCCCTTCAAGCCTTTGCTTGTCCATAGTTTCCAACTTCAAGAGAGAGGAGAGAGAAAAATTTCCCACTTTGGGTAATTGCCCTTGGACCTCCCACTTCCAACTCCCAACTCCCAACTTTCAAACCCTCCACTTCCAACTCCCAACTTCTAAACCTCCCACTTCCAAATCCCAACTTCCAAACCACCCACTTCCAATTCCCAACTTCCAAACCTCCTACTTCCAACTCCCAACTTACAAGCCCCCTACTTCCAACTCCTAACTCCCTAGAACCTCAAACTCCCAACTACCTAGAACCTCAAACTTCCTACTCCCTAGCCTTCCCAACTTCCAACTTCCTACTCCCTACACCAAACACCTCACCTTAGATCATCATACACCCTATCTCATATACTACCCTAACCTACTTAAGTTCATTCATCTTAGACCTAGACGCAGACCTTAATCCCAAAGGTCAAGATTTCTCTCCAAGAAGCACTCAAAAAGAAACCTTAAAGGCGCATATAAACCCAAGCCGGCCAAGGTCCACTTTCTCTCCTCTTTCTTAATCTTCTTTTTCTCTTTCTTTATTCTTTATTCACTTCTTTCTCTTGTTTATTTAAACAGGGGGATCTTTGGGTTAAGGACTTTCTGATGGGCTAAGCCACGACTTCGCTTCTCGTACCCTCTGGGTAGCAAGGCTTCGAGCCTAGGACTTTCCTTTGTCTCCGGTAATATCTCTTAGCAGAGGTTATACTAAAAGGCTACCCAATTACCGGGCCTCTTATTTTTCTCTCTCTTCTTTTTTTCTCCTTTTTTCTTTCTTCTCACTTCTTTCCCTTTCTTATCTCTCTCTTTCTCTCTCCTTCTCTTACTCTCTCTCCCTCTGTTGCCCAAAGTCATAGATGCACGCCATAGGCACAACCGTCTTCTCTCCCTCTTTTTCCCTTGCTCACTCCCTCTTTCTCTCACCTAAAAAGATACGTACCCACACCTAGGGCGGGCCCAGCTTCTCTCCTGCTCTTTCTCTTATGTTCTCTCTCTCTCTCTTGCCCAAAGCTACAGACCCCACTATAGGCAAGTCCGTTCCTCCTCACTCTCTTTCCTTTATTCCCTTACTCTCTCTGTCCCTCGCTTAGCCAAAGACCCATGCCTTAGGTGGGTCTGTTTGACCTCTATATCTCTCTCCCTCTTATACCCTCTCATGCCCTTGCCAATTCATGGACCCGTGCCTTAAGCGCGTCCATCTCTCCCTCTCTCTCTCTCTCTCGCATCTTCTCTACCCCTCATGCCACGGATCTGCGCTGTAGGCGGGTCCATCCACTCCCTTGATATCTCGCTCTCTCATCACCTCTCTCACACACCCACCTAGACACGGACCCACACCATTGGCGGGTCCATCTCATCTATTCATCTTTCTAACGCTCTCACTCTTTACTCCACTCTCTCTAGCTCCCTCTCTCTTATCCATTCTTCCTTTCCCTCACCTCTCACTCTCTTCTTTCTAATATACTCTCTTCTTATCTTCTTCTTCCTTCTGTCTTCACTCTCTACTGTCTTTTTTCACATTCCACTACTCTCTTTCATCTCTTATAAATCTACTTCTCTCATACTCTATCTATCTTTCTAAACTCGGACAACTCTCGTGAGGCTCTTCGGAAATGATTTTGCGATAGTCTAGAACTGTAGACTTCACTCTCTAACATCGAAAGTGATTTCTCGATAGTTTAGAACTACATGCCTCACTCTCTAGAATCCTATAGAGTACTATTGACTTTGGTCTCGAAGTCTAGGGACCTTTCCGACATTCCTGGTTACCTCCTTACAGAGGGAATGCCAAAAAGATATCTAAGTTTTGAGGGCCTTCTCTTTGTTATATTATCATTGCTCTCCCATAGCATCTCTTATTTCTCGGTTCACCTTCTTCTTAGTCACTCATTTGGGAGCCTATACGGAAGTGAGCTCGCGATAGTCTAGATCTACAAACCGCAGTCTCCCTTTGCAGAAGTGACCTCTCGATAGATTAGAACTACGTAGCACATTCTCTTGAATCCCCCAGGATGCCTGTGGCCTCCAAGCCTAGTATCGTTCTTGTCTCTGGTAATATCTCTTAGGAGAGGTGACGTCGGAAGGCCACCCACTTTCTGGGTCAATTTCCTCCTTTGTCTTCTCTACTTCTTCTCTATCCACTCTCAACCCCCTCTAACCCTTATACTAGGCCTCCAATCTACCATGTAACTACAAATAGGAGGAGATTCCAAAAGATATACCTTGAAGGCCATTTTAATATGTGGATCCAAGTGTTGTGCAGTGAAGTAAGCTGGTTCTAATACCCAATGTTCAAACATGTTCTCTTTTGATTTTTTAAGTGAAAAATATATGTGTATATTTGTTATCTGAAGCTGGTCACTTACAAAAGAAAACCAAAGATGAAGCAATTCAGACAATCAATATCTTAACCCATCTCCCATATAAAGAAAGGGTCATAGATTGAATGCTCTTCCAATTCCCTAGTACTTTGAGTATAAAAGAAGGGTTTTGTTATGGTACTTTCATGCAATATTAAAAGGTAAAAGTTTATATAAGGGTGAGGCCCTAAATAATCAAATAAAGGTGCATCTCAAAAGTTCACTAAAAATTATTTCGATGATAAATAATCATCAAATTGATCATCCCGACCTCAACATGTATATACATGAGAAAGAATCGATTTCATGTCTTGAAAATAGTACATCTTATTATACATTTTCGGACCGTCACTTTTCCAAAGTTTTTCAAGTCTACACCTTTTTTGTAGCTTTAAATTTTATAATGTGCAATACATTATAAAATTTTATATTTCAAGTCGGGGGAAATGCTATTAAAAAAATATAATACTTTTCATAATACGAAATAACGAAATTCACATATAAATTTCCCAATAATAGAGACAGTGAAAGTGAGAAACCCATGAAAAGACATTTGAGGGAAAGTTGGGAGAGGGTCCCGTGGAGAGCTGGAACATAGCATAGAAGAAAGCTGTCAATTGTCGTCGGTTGAGAGCCTGGAGAAAGCGAAATGTGATCGAGAGGCGGCGCTTCCTATAAATATCTCTCCATTCCATCCCCCTCTCACCAAGCGCTCTCTCTCTCTCTACAATGGAGCTCTCTTTCTCTCTCCTTCTCATCCTCTGCATTTCTTTTGTGGGGCAAGTGTGTGCAAGACCCGCCACATTTCTTCAGGATTTTCGCATCACATGGTCAGACTCCCACATTAGGCAGATACAGGGAGGATCCGCCATCCAACTGGTCCTTGATCAGTCCTCTGGTATTACTTTCTACTCATTCTTCTTAGCTCTTCATGCTTCAACAACAAACACCATGTCTGAATGACTCTTTCCTTTTTGGAATTTAGGCTGTGGATTTCGCTTCAAAGAACCAGTACTTGTTTGGACGTGTGAGCATGAAGATCAAGCTTATCCCTGGTGATTCAGCGGGGACCGTCACGGCCTTCTACGTAAGAATTATACTGCGATTAGGATGATCGAAGAATAATTCAAACACTGACGATAGTGTTCTCTTTCTTCTTCATTGGTGTCAATAGATATGATTATCTTTATTTAACTTCTTTTTTATTGTAGATGAACTCCGACACTGATAATGTGCGGGGCGAGCTGGATTTTGAATTCTTGGGCAACAGGTCGGGGCAGCCTTACACTGTGCAAACAAATTTGTATGCTCATGGGAAGGGCGATAGAGAACAGAGAGTCAATCTTTGGTTTGATCCCTCAGCTGCCTTTCACACTTACTCCATACTTTGGAACCACCACCATGTCGTGTAAGTATACTGTAGTATGGGACCGATCACTCATCTGAATCCTTCCAATGCTCTGTTTCTTTTAACTCATGGTTGTACCATATGTATCAATGGATTCTTAACCATGAACTCAATCCATGGGTCTTCCTGAACATTGAAAAAATTTCAGGTTCTCTGTCGATGATGTGCCTATCCGGGTTTACAAGAACAACGAGGTGAGGGGCATCCCCTACCCCAAGTCCCAACCCATGGGTGTCTACTCCACGCTTTGGGAAGCTGACGATTGGGCTACTCGAGGAGGGCTGGAGAAGATCGATTGGTCCAAGGCTCCTTTCTACGCATACTACACCGCCTTCGACATCGAAGGGTGCTCAGTACCTGGGCCTCCTGCTTGTGCTTCAAACTCTAACAATTGGTGGGAGGCTTCAGCATATCAATAACTTGATGCTCTCCAAGCCAGGCGATACAAATGGGTTAGAATGAACCACCTTATTTATGACTATTGCAGTGATAAATCTAGGTACCCAGTCCCCCCACCTGAATGTTATGCCGGAATTTAGAGGATTGCTCTTGCATGTTGCTTTAGTATTCCTTTAGTATGCCGTTTTTTTAAACTGTCCGTAGAATTAGAGAGCACGATGTGTGACTAAGATATGGGGCGTGCGGCCTCAGCCCTTTTCCATGGCGTTAGTTCAATGCTACGTGATCTTCTATTTATATTCCTTGCATGTAAACTGTAAAAGTATAAGGAGAAAGGGTGTTATGTGTAAAGAAGATTGAAGTTGTGTTCATGTTCATTTGAGAGTGGAGCAGCAAGCTTCCGTGGCTGTTTGCCGGGGATGGGCTTTGCCAAAATAAATGAAGCATGTTTGTTTTGTTAAAGTCGTCCATGCCGGACCATAGTTCTTTTGTGGTCCATGTTGTTTCTCTATCACTTCGAATTTGTGCCGATCATTTCAAAGTAGTGAAGTAAGTCAATGGTCATAACTAAAGGCAAAGCTTTCTATGCGGTGGCATATGGGTTCCCATCCATAACACAGATTGGAATGCGGCGATATATCTTGTGGGAAACATAGCTCTCTCATTTGGCGGTCCTGGTACCTTTGTCAAAAAAAATTCTCTCATTTTCTAGATTTCGTAAATGTTTCTAAAATAGATTGGAACTCTAGAAATGATGACCGTCTTATTCATTTATCTTTGGTTCAAACCGATGATATAAGGGTGGAAACGGGCCGAGGGAGCCATGGCCCTAGTTTGGCCCTTCTCTCCATAGGACCGGCCCATGCCTAGCTTGGCCCTACAGAGCCAGAACTGAGCCATAAAAAAAAAAAAGAAGAAGAAGAGGGATGGACATGGCTACTCATGCTGCCACTAGACTAGCCCGGCCATTGGGCCACAATTTGTGACCCACACCCTACTTTTTTATTATTACCAGCCCTACGATAATAATTTTATTTGTGTATCTTTGGATCAAACCTAATCTTTCTTTTTTATTTGAGGAAATCATGTATTGACACTATTGGGGGGAGAAAGATGCGGTTGAATTACCAAATGAGCACTCATTTGCTTGAAATTACAAGTGGTCTTTTTTTTTCCCTTTAGTTGACAATTCTTATTTATTGTCCATTGAAACACGGGTCAGCTCTATGAACTCCCAAAACCAAACTCCAACCTTTCTTCGCCTCATTTCTTCTTTCTAATGCTCTCTTTCCTCTCTCTTCAACTCTGAGCCCTCTTTCCACATAGTAGCCATCTCAAGCCACAGCCAAACGGGTTTGGCTGGCTAATCAGGTATGTTCAATGTATTTGTTTTATTTTGGAGAAAATGGTAGTGAATGCATATTAGGGTATATAGGGTAGAAAAACCCCAAAACGGGGCAATGAATCACTATAAAATTACTTTTAGTTATGCCCTTGGATAGAAATCGATTGCAGCATTTTATCGAAGGACTTTTTTTCTTGCAAGGGGTATTGGTGAAGATTAGAATTCAGGTTGTATTTGTTTTTTAGGTAAGTTTGTTTTTTCTAAATTGAAATCGTTGTCTCTGTCTCTATCTCTGATGGGAAAATTGCAGAGTTCTTATGCTTTGGAAATTACAATATGTGAATTTCTGATTTTTTTAAGGTATGTGTTGGGTTTGTGTGGCCTTAAAAGGCCTTATGAGTGCTTATAAAATGAAATAATACAGTGGAACATGAACTCAATGGGTGTGTGGTCCCTGGTGGACTATACTAAGCAAATAATATTTGCTGATACCGGACTGTGCTTGACAATTTAGGTCAGTAGGTTAGAAAACCCAAGGTATCTAGGCATAAAGAACAAACCGAGAAAGGTTCTGGGTTATCCCTTGATGAGGTCGGAGCTTATGCCTGGATGAATGAGTCAAGGGACTGTGTGACCCTTGTGTGTGATGGTGGGCCTATAAAAACGCGGGCAAAAACCTCATCTATTATCCATCACACGACATGCATATCGATAGATCGTTTGGGAAAGCCAAATATTCACCTTTTAGGGTGAAGCATATGCATGTGCGAGGGATACCCCTATGCCTCATAGAACTATGGTCGCATAAGGTCTTGGTGACCTTGACTCGTCTTTTAGGGAGGACCTGAAATCCACAGATTGGGATTGTGACCCCTTGACTCATCGACTAGACTTTGGTGATTCGCTTATGAGCCCTTGCTTGGACTGTAGGTTATGAAAAACATTGGGTCGGTCTGATAAAGCAAGTGTGGTTCATAGTCCACAATTGAAGGTGGAGTGCCTCATGATTGTTAATTTAATTCTTAAACTATATGCATGCATTTCCCATCATATTAATTTAATTATGTTTGTTTTATGATAAAAATTGTTTTAAAATTATTATTTGAATTTTTATGAGTCATTTGATATTTTATTTATAATTTTTGGACTTATAAAAATAAAGTTATTGATTTTACAAAAGTATAACATTCAAATAATATTTTAAAAATTAATTTGTTAAATATCATGGGGGCCCATAGGGAACATGGGCCCACCATGTACCATGTGGGTGGGGCCCACACATGGGTGGCATGCCCCACCTCTTGGTTGTTTGCTTTGTTGTCAAGTTATTGAAATTTAAGAAAGGTATCTTGTGGCATGTGATCTAATATTAGATATGGAAAAGATTGACCACATCTTATTCTAAATATTAAAAGCATATCTTGACTTGACATATCTTTGAATAGTATGAGAACGAATATGTTATTTTATGGAATGATTAATATTTGAATAAGATTCAATTTATTTAAATATATTGATAGGAAAATGGTTTAAGGAAAGGGGGATAATAGTCCAAGCACCTTTCATAATGTTGATGGCTCACCTATAGAATGGATGGCTCAGATCTCTCATCCCACAAGTAACCTTGATCAACGGTCCATATTTAATCTCAAGAAAGAGGCAAACTATGAGAAACTCTAAACCTAATTTTTCTCTATAAATAGAGTGCACCATCTCCCTATTCTCTACACTTTTCTCTCTCCCACAACTCTCTCTCCTCTCTCTCTCATAGGGGCACACCCCACTCTCTCTCCTCTGGGTTTCTCTCTCTCTCTAGCTTTCTTTCTTTAACCCTCTCTCTCCTAAGCATGTAGAGGGGCACACCCCAACCCTAAGTATCCCACTTTCTCTCTCATACTTTAAAAAAACTAAGGGTTGAAAAATTAGGGGTAAGCCAAGAAAAGTTTGGGAATTAGTGTTTGTAGAGATTTCAAGGTGAATACTCAGTTTGGCCAAAATTTACTTTCCCAAATCGAAATTAAAGCTAAACCGTTGATCCCGCTCCATCGGATGTTGGTGACTCGGTCTGGGGTGTGATAAACCCGGTTGAGGTAATCTCCGACACTCTTTTTTTTTTTGTTTCTTGCTATATTTAATTATATTGGTTTTATATTCCCCAGCATAAGAATTATGGATATTTTCTTTCTTTAAAGAAAATTGGTTTACTGGCATCAAGGTTTTTAAGATCGTGGATTGGTTAGTTTTATTTTCTTTAAAGCAAGAATTATTGTAATAAGACTAAATGAAGGGGTGAAAAGAAGAAAAAAAGAAAAAAAATTCCCCGACAAGATCTCATTAGTCTTTCTTTCGTTGGGATCTGAGCTATTGATACTTTATGTCATTAGTTATCTTTTTCTCTTTATTGAGTCTAGATCAAGCTTGAGAATGAGATATATGAAAGCTAATGACCTTTGTGGTCAAGAAATACACCCACAGTTAAGAATTATTGGAATATTCAAACACCGAAAAGGCACTCTGCATAATGGACAATCTGGGCTTTTTTGGAGCAGTGATATGAAGAAGATAATGATGTATTTTTTTATTGCATACTTCAGTAATATTATGTGTCTTTGAGAGTAAGATCTACCTATAAAATTTTAGTGGGAGATCCTAAGAAATTTATGGACTCATCAATGAAGGGTGTCAGTTCTGACCTTGCAGAATCCAAGAACTATCTACTGCGTTCCGTGATTTTTCTCACCAACGATATGATTTTATTTCTCACTAAAATTTCATTGTGACTTATAAAATTGAGTGCACTTTGAAAAAAAAATATTTCATCAAGAAATTCCTTGTGGTTTGAAAGATATGATCGATTTATCCGAGGGTGCGCAAGTGATGTTTTCTACAACGAAATTTATTTTCATGACTTGAAAGTCAAGATTTTATTTCTATTTTAACAGATTGTTTTATGGTTCACACTAAATTTTTAGACTTTCATTCTGCGTGTGCGTTTATTTGCGAGAGAAATATCAACGGGAAGAGAGGAATAAAAATTTTGGTTTGAAGAGATGTCAACCTGAATTTTCAACAATTTGGTATGTCCTTTATTGAAGACATGGATTGCGATATTTATCAAGCCTACTTAACATAGTGATATAAGCTTGTGGAATATATGTATTACTATTATGTGTCTACTTTAAAAAAAAATGGTTTGAAAAAAAAACTCCATGATGGTAGAGAGAAAAGACAATTCTACTATATAGTGTTCATTATGGAATTCGATAGTATGATTTATTTTGTGACATGAATGTCACTTGTTTATTTCTCTAAAGAAAATTATTATTTGGGATTCACACTATGATGTTATGATTTAGTTTTGAGTTTAGTTTTTAATACAAAATATTTTAGGAAGAAATTCTATAAAGATTGAGAGAAACAAATTTTTTATTGAGAGATGCTCAACCTGATTTTCAACTGAAAAAATTGCATTTTGACATAAATGTCACAAAAATAAATATTCACTAAATGGTATGATTTAGGGATGGAACTGAGCACTATTTTATATATTTTTAGTCTATTTCAATACTCAAAAGTATTCGAAGATTAATTCTTTATGAGTTGAGAGATATCATATTTGTATCATGAGATGCTCAAGTTCTATTCTGCAGTAAATTAAAAAGATGTTGCATGTTACGGCACATCTTTGGATTCCTAATTATGGAGACTTTTCTTTTAGGGCTCATTTAAAAAGGTTTTATAGTGTGCTATGAGTATGGTCTATTATAATAAAACTTCAAAGAGAGGTAATACAGA